CGGGGCACAGCCTGGCCATGGGACCCCAGCGCACCGGGCTGGGCTGGACCACCCTGCACCCCACCTCGCTCCCCACGGCAGGAGCCGCGCTGCAGGGAAGATCTGGCCCCAGAGAAAGCCCCTTTGGCTGATGCCTCCCCTGCTCACCTGTCGTAGAAGTCGTCTCTGTAATAGTCATAGTCGAAGTCGTAGCCGCTGCAGAGACAGAGTCAGGATGGCAGGGGTTAATTAGGGCTGGCAATTCATTATTATTAGTATTCCCTCATTACCTGCTGAGCCTCCCAGGTCCTTTACTTACTCCCCCTCCATAGGGGACCCCCTCCATAGGGGACCCCCTCCATCCTTCCACCCAGCAGGACTGCACGCTTGTCCTCCCGCCTGCGAGGGTCTGCAGGGAGGTGGGCCGAGCCCGGGAGAAAGATTTGGGGGGGCTGACCGCACTGGGCAGGGTGACGTTGGCAGCAGTGTTAACCTGGTTATCTCGAGGTGGAGCAAGAAGATGTGTGGGCAGATTAAAACCTACAAACTGGGGTGGGGAGAAATGTCCGCAAACACCCCGTGGGGCTGTCTGCATTTGAAGCGATGGCTGAGTCTGTGGAGCGGGGACCAGCCCTCCATCCCCAGCCGGCCGCGCAGAGAAGCTGAAAGTACAGCTAATGGGTTCTGTCCGTAAAGCGTCGGCTGAACTGTTCTCATGGCATTGCCGATATCCCTCCGTCCTGCCTTTTGTACAGCGGAACCGTGCTCGTGCCAGGAGGGCACTGCCCTGCCACCACCCTCATACAATTTTTTTTTTTCATACCATATATAACTGTTGGGGGAGAAGTCAGGAAGAACGGGTTATTTATTAATTTAACATCTTTGCTATCAAAGATGTTTAAACCTCTCTCCTCCCGGCAAGACACTGCCCATGCCCTGTTTTCTTAAGCTTGAACTGCATTTTAACCCAAAGTTGGAGCAATGCATTTCTCACTCCCTGGAGACCCAGTACCGCGCTTTCTCTCTTGCCGCAGCTGGTTTTTCACAAGGCAACACAAACGAGGTGGTTACAGCGGGCAACCACAGCTCTGCAGGCCCAAGACCTGCTCTGGTGCTGCCTGATGCCCCGGCATGCTCACAGCAGCGGGAAGAGCAACGCTGCCAAACGTACCAGCCGCCCCCAGCTAAACGCAGCGTCTGGTTCCCTTGTGTGTTGCTGGCTGAATTAATAATGCTTAAATAAGAAGTTATGCTGACGTTCCCTCCTCTCTGCACTGAACACAGAGAATGGTTATTGCAGCCCTTGAAAGCAAAGAGTCTGTCCTGCATCGTGAAACCTTTTGAAGTGGCTTATAAAACCCAAGAAAAATCTAATGGGAATAAAGAGAGAGTGATGGGGAGCGGGAAGGACTCTGAGCCAGGAGAAACTGGGCCATGGGGAGAGGGAAGGATGAGCACTCAAGTATGTAGCTGAGAGTAAATTTGGTGTCCTGTGTTTAGGCAAGAAGTGACAAGAAGAACATGTGGCTGGCCAGGACGGCCGGTAGGAAGTGTGGTTTGGACCAGAAATTCCAGGCTTGACCCGGGACGCCTGTCCTGCCTAAGCTGGCACTGGGCTTCCCACCTACTGTTTTAGTTTCAGTAACCGGCTGGTTTCTTAAATGGGTTTCTTCCATGCTCCTTGGGTTCCCCAGAAGCCTGTGGTGGCATGCGGAGGCTCAGCCTATGCCTCGGGGGGGACCTGAAGCATGCTCTGGATGGTTGGAGATACCAGGGCTCCTTTGGGGCCACAGACAGGTGGTGCAAAGGGTTCAGGACAAGACAGCACTTGCACCTACTGCCTCTTTTGGGGTTTGCTGCCACCATCATGCACTGCCACGGTGACTTCAAGCAAGGAGGTATTTTATAAAGCTGGACCTTATCTCCATGGCTGGTCAGGATGCTGGATGCAGGGTCTCGGCCAAGCAAGCAGCAATGGCAGGATAGGGGAAGAGG